TAAAAAAGAGAGAATGTGTGAAGTACTTTCACAGTGGTGCTGATACTTCTTTGTAATAGAAGGTAGTGATAAAGAGCCTTTGTATAAGAAAGGCAGCTATGGGTATACCCTTTGTATGATATGGCATAACTTGAAAAGATAGATAAGCAAGTTACTGTAGGCTTAAAAGAAAAACACTTTTGAAGTTGATGTAGCCTTAAAAGAAAAACACTTTTGAAATTGAAGGCAGCTAGTATTGAAGTATGAGCAACACAGATTGAAAGTAAACTAAGTTGGAAAAGTAATACTATTTTGATAAATTTCATTTTACGATTTTGTAATTTACAGTTAGAAATATTTTATCCATTTAGTTTGCAGAACAATGGCAAAATGAAAAGACAAAAGTGAGAGTTATAAGCAGCAGCAAAAATGAGTTAGATTTATAATTTTTTTTTAACATTTAGACTCTTCTACAGATAAGTTAGAAAAAGTAAACATTGATGTGGAAGAAATTATAGTAGTGATAGTGATATCATTCCACCAAGAAGAAAATGGGTAAAAATAAGAGAAAGTAATAGTGATGAAAGGTTAGTAGTTTCAAAGAAGTAGAAGACAATGTATCATCAAGTGAAGATTGGGAATATGTTACAGAAGAAGACAATCCTCCAGAGTAAGTTTTTTTGAACGTCCTCAAACAACAGGACCACAAATAGCAGTAATATAAGAGAACCAGTTGACTATTTTACTCTGTATCTTTTTTTTTTGTTTTGTTTTGTTTTGTTTTTTTGAGTTGGAGTCTCACTCCGTTGCCCAGACTGGAGTACAGTGGCACGCTCCTGGCCACCACAGCCTTGACCTGCTGGGCTCCGACGATCCTTCCGCCTCAGCCTTCCAAGTAGCTGGAACCACAGGTGCATACTACCACGCCCGGCTAATTTTTGATTTATTGTAGAAATGAAGTCTTGCCAAGTTGCCCAGGAGGGTCTCAAACCTGCAGGCTCAGGTAATCCACTCACCTTGGCCTCCCAAAGCGCTGGGATTACAGGCTGAGCCACCGAGCCCTGCCTTACTCTGTATCTTACAAATGTATTAGCGAATAGTGTAGTAAAAGAAATAAATCATTATGCAGATGAAAAAAATAAGGAAAAAGCAGCTAACACACAAATTGATTTGAGATAAGTGGCATGACATTGACCAACAGGAATTTTTAGTTAGTAAAATACTCTTCTTTTTGGAAACATTCAGTAGAGAAACATTTATACAGACCCTCTGGATACTTTATTTAAAGACACCTGTGTTAAGTGATGGGACGACCAGAATTTGTGTTCAGAAGGCTAATAATTATGTGGAATACATCGATTCAGAATTTTCACAGTGTTTCATACCAGATCAGGCAATTTGTGTTGGTGAATCCATTACTTAATTTAAAGGGTGAATTTCTTTTATAACGTAGAATCTAAATAAGTCTACCAAATGTGGTATTATGCATTTATATGCTAGCTGATTCAGAAACAGTATCTTTTTTCAGTAGTTCCCTACTATGGCAGCATAACATTGGAAAACATCATTTGACCTGATCTTCTAGTAAGCATCAGAATTCCATTACATTTATATATATATAAAGTTGTTGGAAAAAATTCCCAGTGTAGCAGGATGCCACTGGATATCGTGTTTACTGACAGTATTGTCCTTGCAGAAGAGCTACTAAAGATGAAATGTCATTTTACTGGTACAAAGTCAACCAAAAGGGAATACTAGCACAATAAAAAGACTTAAGTTTTTAATTAAAAATAATAATGTATAGGAAAAATAATTTTACGTGTCTTACATGGAAGGACAAAAGATCACTACAATTTTCAGCACTTGGGATCATGCAGGAGTAAAATCTACCACAAGGACATTACGTGATGGAAATACTACATTAGTCAAAAAACCTGAAATGGTTCTATATTATATTGCAAATGTGAGCGATATGGATCGTGCAGATCAGTATGCTTCTATATTTTGTGTGTGTGTGTGTGTGTGTGTGTGTGTGTGTGAGAAATCTTTTAAATGGTGGAGAACATTATTATTCTGGGGATTAGAAGTATGTTATTAATAACTCTTTTTTTTTATTCTGGGGATTAGAAGTATGTTATTAATAACTCTTTTTTTTTTTTTTTGAGTTGGAGTATCACTCTGTCACCCAGACTGGAGTGCAGTGGCTGCTCCCAGCCACCACAGCCTCTACCTGCTGGGCTCTGGTGATCCTTCCGCCTCAGTCTTCCAAGTAGCTGGAACTACAGGTGCGATTTTTTGATTTATTGTAGAGATGAGGTCTCACCAAGTTGCCCAGGTGGGTTTCAAACCTGCGGACTCAGGCAATCCACTCACCTCAGCCTCCCAAGGCGCGGGATTACAGGCTGAGCCACCGAGCCCAGCTAATAACTCTTATATACTGTATCAAGCATTAAAAAAAAAAAAAACACCCAAAAACCTATGTCCCATTTGAAATTTGCCAAGCTTCTGATCAATCAGTTGAGAAGTGGTTTTCAGGAATCACAAATGTCCTTCCACATTGTCTTTGAACAACAGACTGGGCAGTAAATTACATATTATTGGTGTGGGAGGAAGAAAATGAGACTGTATTTTCTGTTTGAGTAGAAAAACATCAGGTGACTGAGTGTGGTGGCTCATGCCTGTAATCCCAGCACTTTTGAGAGGTGGAGGCGAGAGGATTGCCTGAGCCCACAGGTTCCAGACCAGCCTGGGCAACACAGCGAGACCTCACCTTTACAATATATCAAAAAATTAGTCAGGTGTAGTAGTTTCAGCTACCTGGAAGGCTGAAGCAGAAGGATCGCCAGAGCTCAGCATGTCGAGGCTGCGGTGGTTGTGAGCGTGTCACTGCACTCCAACCTGGGTGACAGAGTCAGACTCCAACTCAAAAACAAAACAAAAACAAAAACAAAACACCAAGTGGAAGATATCAAACAAATTACTATTGTACAACTTGTACCAATAAACCTGCAATGCATGTCAGTGACTATTTCACACATTACCACATGTTAGAAAACTATAAGTTATAACATTTTGATTTTTTTGTTCATAAATAAATTCCTCAATGTCCAAAATTCCATTTTAAGCCAAATATCATTACAATAAAATAATTGGTTTCAGTGCTATCCTATTTAAAATGAAGAGATTCATTTTTCATTATTTTATTAAAAAGTGCATTCCAGTTGCTGGTAGGTGATCCATGAGATGTCTCTGAGTGCAAAGGGTTAAACTTGGGGGCATATTGTCCGTGTGTGGGCGCGCGCGCGCGCGTGTGTGTATTAGCCAACACATGAGATAAAAGAAGGATCACACTGTTTATCTTTTTAAAATTTTAATATATTTTGAGTGTATTTATAAGTATTTATTTTTCTGCATATAATAGCATAGTAGCCACACAAATTGGCAGTGTTAAGACTACCCAAGTTCAAATCCTGGCTCCAATTACTTGATCACTGTGTGACCGGGAGCAAGTTACTACCCTGGGTTTCAGTTTCCTCATCTTAAAAATGGAGATAACATTCTTACCTAACTCCTAGAGTACCTGTAAGTATTGAGATAATACATTTAAAAATTCTTGACACTCAATAGATGTTACCGTTTGTTGTAATATTGTATGACTGTACTGTAATTTATATTATTTCTGTTTTTGTTTGTGTTGCTATCATTAAGAGTGTTGTAAGCCCATACATGTAGCTAAATCTGAATGCCCATCTTGATTTTGTTTATATAGATTTTTATTAATAAAATTGCTGGACTAGTGGGTACATGCGAATTGTTAAATTGCCCTCTAGAGGAGTTTACTCATTTATATTTCACAAGACTGTACAAGAGACCATTAACTTCGTTATATTTTTCCAAAAAAATTCTACAGTATTATTTATACTTTGTATTGCTCTCTTGATAAAAGTACAATTGAACATATTATTTTCTCTCTGTTGCCAAAATGTTGGACTTGATTGGGAGAGGATCACTGCTACATCATGGTTACTAACAGATAATTCTTGATGTATATTTTATTTATTATTTAGATCCAGCTTCAACTTGTTGGGGGGTGGTTACCTTTTTTGTTTTAAAAATATTCATTTTTCTACCCGAAGTAAACTCAAGTCTCCCTTTTTATTGTCCTAATTTATGTGTGGATAAAACTCTCATTACCCTGTAGCCTAATATTACTGGGTTTTTTGTTTTGTTTTGTTTTGTTTTTTTGAGTTGGAGTCTCACTGCATCACCTAGGCTGGAGTGCAGTGGCATGCTCACAACCACTCCAGCGTCAACCTGCTGGGCTCTGGTGATCCTTCTGCCTCAGCCTTCGTAGCCGGAACTACAGGCATGCACTACTGTGCCTGGCTAATTTTTTATTTATTGTAGAGACAAGGTCTGGCCAAGTTACTTAGGCTGGTCTCGAACCCTCGGGCTCAGGCAGTCCCCTCACCTCAGCCTCCCAGAATGCTGGGATTATAGGCTGAGCCACCGAGCCTGGCCAAATTATGTTTTTAAAATGCTTTTTAAAACTTATATTGAAATATCGTCCGCATACCATACATTTCACCCACTTAAAGAGTGCACTTCATTGGTTTTTAGTATATTCACAGATCTGTACAACCATCATCACGATCAATTTTAGGAATTTTCATCTGAATGATATTTTGTATTTTACTTTGTTGTTATATCATGGACAATTGGTACAGAATTTGGGAAGAGAAGATATGGCATTAGGATTAAAGATATAGTGTCTGGAGTCGGACTGATCTGAGTTTAAATCCCAACTCTACCACATATTAGCTGTATAACTTTTGGGCCAGTTATTTAACCACCCTGAGCCTGAGTTTTCTTATCTGTCATATGGCATTAGTAGTGGTGCCTGCTTGTAGGCTTATTTTAAGAATTAAGCAATATAGTTAATGTATAGAAGTAACTGGGCTATAGTAAATGTTCAATAAATGGAGTGTAATAAATAACATTGTTTCCATAATTTTTAATTCTTTTTTTTTTAACAAGTTTGTCATTTATTAAGTCTGAATTCATTTTCACCACATGGTATAGTACACAATCTGTTGAAACAGATTTCTTTTTAACAGATCTTAGTTTAAAAAAATGATAGATAGATACTGTGGAGTTCTGTATAAATTGGTGGATAGTAAGTTAGTTCCTTTGTTTTGACTTATAATCCTCAACTTCACCGCAGAATAAAGAATGTAGGCCAAAGAAAGCATAATCGGTCACTCATATAGAACAGTATTGTTTCTATAATTTGAAGCTTTCTGAATGGACGGGGTTCAGGCCTGGTGTAACCCTTGGTGGTGTTACAGGTCTTGTGGCATTTGGCTTCTTTTTCTCTGCAGGCTTTAAAATCTGAAAAGAACACATTAGTGTTTCATCCACACTCATCATGGCGCCTGCATTGTCAAACTCTCCACAATAATTGGGTGCAGAAAACAGAGTGACCAACTGCCTCTTTGCAAAAAATTCATAGCCATCTTCAACCACCTGATGGGCTCTACATATAAGATCCAAATCATGCTTATGGAGAAATTTTGCAACCACTTCTGCACCAAATGTGAAGGACACTCCTCTGTCATTTTCACCCCAGCCTAAGACATCTTTATCGGGGTCAGACCACAAAAGATCACATAGAAGACCTTGATCTGGCACATCAGTTGGTCGCATTATTCGCCGAATCTGCTCCATAGATTGAAGATCTGGTGATAAACCTCCATGACAGCAGAATATTTTCTCATCCACGATGGCTGCTATCGGTAAACAGTTAAAACAGTCTGTGAAAGTTTTCCATAGTTTAATGTTGTACCTTCTTTTACATTCATCATAAAAACCATAAATTCTATTGATGCTGGCACATTCATGGTTCCCTCTGAGAAGAAAAAAATTCTCAGGATATTTGATTTTGTAGGCCAGTAAGAGGCAGATAGTCTCCAACGACTGCTTTCCTCTGTCCACATAGTCCCCAAGAAACAGGTAGTTGCTTTCCGGCGGGAAACCACCGTACTCAAATAGTCGAAGCAAATCATAGTATTGCCCATGGATATCACCACATATCTTCAGTGGTGCTTCAAGTTCTAGCAGGATAGGCTGACTGAGAAAGATCTCCCGAGACTTTAAGCACAGTCCTCTGATTTCATTCTCTTGCAACTGGACATTCTTACCAGGCTTGGACCCTCTCACTTCCAGCAGCCGTTGGATGATGCTGTCGATGTTGAGTTTATCCACATCCGCCATCGCCCTCCCACCGCCGACCCTCCCGCAGCGGCGCCGCCGCCGGCTGGGACTCACCCCTCCTTTCCCACGCCCCGGGCAGAGGCAGTGGTGGCCGAGGTGGCAGCAGCTACGGCGGGACTCCCCCCCGCAGCCGCCCGCTCCTGGCTTCCTCCTCCTCTCCACACAGGAACCACGAGAAGAACAAGATGGCCGCCGACTCTTGAACCAGCCTCGGGCGGCGTACGGAGGCGCGCGGGGAGTGCGGCGGCCCGGCTGGGACTTCTTAACGGGGATTTTTAATTCTTAAGCCAACCAACAAATCTTGGATTTTTTCCGGCATGGTTATTAAGCACTGAATGGTGTTTCTGTCAGTGATTCAGGATGTTTTCTGTATCTAACAACCTTTTAATATAGCTGGTTATATTCTCTCATAAACTTATAATTACTCTCTGAGAATGCAATTGGTTTCCTATTGATAGAGAACAATAATAGTAACTTACACTTAGAAAGTGCTTACTATTTGCCTGGCACTGTTCTAAGTACTATACCTATATTAACTCCTTTGATCCTCACCTTTCAGATACATGCAATTATTGTCCTCATTTTATGATTGGATACAGAGCAGGCTAAGCAACTTGGTCAAAGGATTACAACAGGTTTTTAACGTTGATTTAGCCAGGATTTTAACCTTGATACTCAGTCTGGAAACAGAGCTCATGCTCTTATCCCCGTTTTTTCTTTTTACTCTTCTTCCTAAAATGATGGATTTCCAACATCTTGACTGCTGGGAACTCTCATATTGAGAAGCTTTGTGAAGTCTTTAATTCTTGGGTGGAAGGAAAACTAAAATGAGTAGTGATGTCTACATGGGCCTTAGGGTGAGTGTATTCATCTGGGTCAGACCATACACTGATGATCCTGTTTAACCACCTTAGAATTTCTCCCCCTTGTGGGGCCATGGCTTGGCTCCAGGCACCCTTCTCGGCCCTCCCAGTAGAATGCCTGTTTGAACCTGCTCTAGTCCCTCCTTGCATGCTATCAAATCCTACCAGTTCTTGGAAGGCCACCTTAAATATCTCCCTAGGGTCAGCCCTGGTGATCTTCCCACTTGAGAAGCAATAGTCTTTTGTGTTCCTCAATTAATCACCCTTTGTGGTGGTATGACAACATTTGTGTTGTCATCTGGTACCATTATTTAAATTTTAATATCTTCATGACTTGGGTCCTCAAGTTGATTAAATGTTGTTTTCAGGCAGGGGACCATATCTTATTTGTTTTAAAATTTGCTACAGTGCCCTTGGAATATTTTTTTCTTTCTCTTTCAGTCTCACTTGTCTGTTGATAATATTCTCTGAAAAATCACATACCTAGTCTCACAAACTTAGTCCTAAAGGTACATGATGTGTTTTTGCAAGAAATTGGGTAATCCCTAGTCAGGCTGTTGGATTTTGTGCATTATATTGGGGCGGTTGCTACTAGCTGTCTGCAGGCGACTCTTCAAAACCTGCTGTTGCTTCCTTTTGAACTCTTCCTTGATTGCCCCAGTTGCTGCTCATCCTGTGTACAGGCCCCTCCCTTAGACATGTGACTCACTGATTTAAAAGACAGTGCTGTACAGTAATTAACTCTCATCACACAGAGATGAGAACTTAAATGTAGGCTTCCCAGCTAGGGCTTTCTTCCCTGTATGTTTTCCCACCTACAGACATGTAACAACACTGTCCTATACCTAGCCTTCAGAGGAAATATCTCTAGACTCTTTCCCTCTCCTGTTGGAAGTGATTAGTTTGCATATTCCAGTACAAGTGATGGATTTTACATGTGACTTGTATATTGAAAATGATGTTATTTTCTGTAGTTCCTAGAATGTCACTGGTCTCATTGTTGCACATGGCTTGGGTAGATGACAATTGGTTTTTCAGTGAAGATAATTTTGTTTTTAGTAAATAATAATTAAGTCAAATATCATGACAGATTGATTGGATTAAATTTTAGCGTGTATGTCCTTAAGGTGATAGATGGTTATCCGTTTTTCATGAGTATGATTAGTTTTTAGGAAACTGCATCCACATAAAGGAATTTATTCCACCTTTACTACCTGTTTGGCAATCCTGAAAAATATCTTAAATATGATCTTAGAGTATGTGTCATTAGGAAGTATATTTTGAAAAAGAAAATTTAAAATATTCTTCTATTTACTGAGTAGCACATTTAGAAATACTATTCTGAATAATTGAATTGCAAAAAAAGTTCTTACCCTCAGATTGCATATGCTACCGTTTCTGGAGCACAGATAAAATCTTTGGTTTTCTAAGCAAAACTTAATTTTTCATTTGACTTATAATTTGCAATTTCCAGAAAGAAAAGTTTTAAAATTTGCTGATGGAGGAAAGATCTTTGGGTCTTTTTTGTAGATCTGTCAATATTTGATTCATGCAGGCTTGAGTGCAGGGGCATGCTCATGGCCACCGCAGCCTCCACCTGCTGGGCGTAGGTGATCCTTCCACCTCAGCCTTCCAAGAGCTGGGACTACAGGTGCTCACTCCCACGCCCCGCTTATTTTTTTATTTACTGTAGAGACGAGGTCTCACAAACTTGCCCAGGCTGGTCTCGAACCCCTAGACTCAGGTAGTCCTCTCATCTCAGCCTCCCAAAGTGCTGGGATTACAGGCTGAGCCACCGCACCTGACCAATATTTGATTTTTAATACACTCTGGCATACCCTGTGTTGTAAAATTATTACTTGTAACTTATAAGGAACGTGTTTTCCCCAGATTTTTACTTCAAAAATTTATAAATTGATGGAAATGTTGACTGAATAGTAAACGCCCATGTATTTTTTACTACATTGCTAACAATTTGCCTTATTTTCTTTCTCTGTTTATAAAAACATACATACTTTTTTCCCCTGAGCTGTTTGAAAGTAAGTTGCAAACATTCTGAAACTTAACTTCTAAATATTTTAGCAGGTGCATTTTTTTTTTTTGAGTTGGAGTCACCCTGTCGCCCAGACTGGAGTGCAGTGGCCGCTCCCGGCCACCGCAGCCTCGACCTGCCGGGCTCCAGTGATCCTTCCACCTCAGCCTTCCAAGTAGCCGGAATTACAGGCATGTGCTACCACACCCAGCTGATTTTTTGATTTATTGTAGAGATGAGGTCTCGCTGTCCAGGCGGATCTCGAATTACAGGCATGTGCTACCACACCCAGCTGATTTTTTGATTTATTGTAGAGATGAGGTCTCGCTGTCCAGGCGGATCTCGAACCCGCGGGCTCAGGCAATCCACTCACCTCAGCCTCCCAAAGGCGTGGGATTACAGGCTGAGCCACCGAGCCCGGCAGCAGGTGTATTTTAAGAACAAAGTTATTCTCTGGAGGGTTACATTAGTACACCTAAGAGATTTAGCATTAATGCAATATTATCTAATATATGATCCATCTTTAAATTTTCTTCATTTTCCTTCCAAAGAGTTCTTTGTAGCTGTTTTGATTTTGATCCAGGGAACTAGTCCAGGAATATATATGTACTGCATTTGGCTGTTATCCTTCTTTAGTTTCCTTTCATTTAGAATAAGCCACTACACCACCTTTACCTCTTCATCGCTCATGATCTTTTATGAAATTTCATCATATTTTTTTCTTGAATATCCCGTAATCAGCTGATTATATTTTATGACTAGATTAAAATTAAAATATTTTGGAATGAATATTATATAGGTGACATTGTGTATTTTCCATTGCATTATATTACGAGGGAAAGTAAATTTTTGCTACTTTTTTCCACTTTATAATAGCTTAGTATTTGGTTTGATATATTGCTGTTAAAGATTTGCAATATAATGCCTATAAATTTCAAAATGCCATTTTACACTGCTTAACTCTTAATTTTGTTAGTGTGATATGTTTCAAACATATAGCACGTATTGTAATAGATAAAATGTACATAACAGATATTTGCATTTTAATAGGCATTTGTGCAGTCTAGGTATGTAGGTAATACCTAGACTAAAAAAATATTAACATTTAACCATATTTGGTTCAGATTATTATAGAATTTTTTATTCTAAAACCTATTTACAGGCTTGACACTGTGTCTTATGCCTGTAATCCCAGCACTTTGGGAGGCTGATGTGGAAGGACAGCTTGAGACCAGAAGTTTGAGACCAGCCTTGACAACAAAAAATAAATAAATTAGTTGACGTGATGTGTTGCCTGTAGTCCTGGCTACATGAGAGGCTGAGATGGGAGGATTGCTTGAATCCAGGATTTGGAGCCTGCAGTGAGCTATGATTGCACCATTGCCCTCCAGCCTGGACAACAGAGTGAGACCCTGTCTCAGAATAAAAATACAAATCAAATAAACAAAACCCATCTTACGTACAAGGATATATATAGTGTAGGCGTACATTTTAAATAATAACAACAAATGAATAAATCTGTCATGGCTTTAAAACCCTTCATGCCTCAAGATAATTACTTCTTCCACCCCAGAGGTAACTACCATACTAAATTTGGTGTTATTTCCTTTTTTTCCTTAAGTTTTATCACACTTGTATTTTCCCTTTAATATACATTTTTTAGGTTGGACTTGGTGGCTCAGTCTGTAATGCCAGCACTTTGGGAGGCTGAGGTTAGTGGATTACCTGAGCCCGCGGGTTCGAGACCAGCCCGGACAACTTGGTGAGACGTCATCTCTACAATAAATCAAAAATTAGCCGGGTGTGGTAGCATGCTCCTGTAGTTCTGGCTACTTGGAAGGCTGAGGTGAAAGGATTGCCAGAGCCCAGCAGGTTGACGCTGGGGTGACGTGAGTGTGCCACTGCCCTCCAGCCTGGGCGACAGAGTGAAACTCTAACTCAAAAACATTTTTTTAGTTTTTCCTATTTTTGAACGTTACCAGATAATGGCAAAATATTTTCTTTTAAACTGTTGTGGAATAAGTCAAGTAAGGAATTAAAGAGGAACAGGTTTGTGAAAGGATGGAAAAGCAAGACAGAGTTATATTTTGTTTTTTGAGTTTTATCCTATCTACTTAGAAGTGTCTAGTAGGCATTTGAGAGGTGTTTGGGTTTTTAACTCCACCCATCTTTGTTTTTTCCTGGGTTGACTCATTTAGGAATGCTATCTTTCCCTTTTTCTTGAAGTGACCTTTTTAAAGAAAGAATCATAGTGTTAAACAGCATCATAATTACTTGATCATAATAGAAGCTGTGTTCTGTTTTTATAGTCTCAGGCCATCGTATGCAGCCTTTTTATTTTTATTTTGAGAAGGCGCGGTAAA